CACTGCCACAGTACGCAGTGCAGCAAAGAAGCGTGTGGCACCCTGGTCCAAAGACACTGTGGAAGGAGCTGTGGACATGGGCATTCAATATGCTCAAGAGTCAGAAGGGCATCCAGCCACCAAAGGCAGCAGACAGCTTAGACTAAAAAAAACAAGGATGCAATGCACAGGTCACTAGTACTAGTGACTCAACAGTGGGGTTGTGTTCTTTTGTGCCCAGTAAAGTAACAAACAGTGAGGGGCCGTTCTGATGACCACTACTGCTAAAGCCCCCCACACTTGTACATAACTTGTAACATGTCGTTGTACATAACGTGGTGGGAGATGTGCTTTGTTGCAGCAGTGCTGATGGTGTGGGAGCTAAGCTTGCACTGGCGGAATTGTCAGCACCGCCTGCAGGCTCAATGCCGCATGGACAGTGCTGCAGACCGCAAGTCAGAATGCCCATGCGGGCAAATGGTAACGAAAGCTGGGTGAATTTCGGTGCTGTCTATGATGTTTATCCCCGAAGCGCCAGCAGCCTCAGCAATCCGCCCCACAGCCGCCAGCTTCATGGGGGCACACCGCAAGTCTCCAGAGGCCCCGAGCATTGGCTAAAGTAAATGTACAAATGAGCAGCTTGCATATATCATAGAGAATTGTAAGCAAATTTGTCAGCCTGCTGGTGGCAAGTCAGAATGCCCATGCGGGCAAATGGTAACACAAGCTGGGTGTTCAAGTTATCATATGCTGTCATCTCAGAATTCAATTATGTAATACACAGTACCTTTTGAAATGAAACTTAGCCCGAGAGGCGTTGATGTGACTTTGAGCTCGATCAATTGAGGCAGTCAAAGTTGTCTCTGCTCATCGATAGGAGAAGCCCAAAATCATATTCTAGGCTGTACAAATCCTGGAAGCCCTAATGCACTGATTGGTTCAGTAACCCATGGGTTACCAATGGGTTACCCACCTTCAACCCCCGGTAGACCTTTGGTAACCCCCTTGTAAGTTCTTATCCAGCAGGAGGGGTAACACGGCCCCAGGGTAAACCCCTCTGTTGCCCAGGACTATGGACATATGTATGGGCCTATAGGCGACTCGTCTTACATGCTTCCCACATCGTAAATTCCGCTTAAGGATACTAGTAAAAATGTAAACATTAGCAACCTACAGTATCTTGGTATCTCGGGAAGCATCGTTTGCCATTTCAACCTTAAGGTCTCTAATGATGGCATCACACACGCAAGGAATAAGCAATAAGTACCTATCTCTTGGCCTGTTACGAGAGCTTGTAGATGAGTACAGGAGAAGGCGTGAATGCTGGCAGCACAGGTCTTCACTAAATGGGTGCCTTTGGTTGTCATCCATTGTTATATAATAGTTCTCATTGTGAAAACATCAGGCAATCAGTCCTGAGGTCGGCCAACATATTACCGGCCAGGGGTGGTCATACACATATGTGCATGCTGCTTTGCCTCCATTGATACTCCTGACAAGCACATTCAAGCTTAATCACAGCTAATTAGCTTGTAAGCTCATATAATGCACACTCTTGGCTGGTCTTATAATTAGATCGACATGCTAAAATAAGCGATGACCACTATCACCAATTCAGTCAATCATATTCCTATTGACCAAACATACAATGGACATACAATCCACGTTGCAATACTGGTGCGTATGGCGGCAAAAATGGTGGCGTCCTAGTATTTGCGTGCATGGACCACTACAACAAGACTGTTGACTGTCCTTCTGCAGCACAGGCCCACACTTATGATGGACCTCATTTAGCAAGACATCCAGTGACATCCGAGGATTTTTACCGCCTTACACTTTGCCGGGTGTGGCCATATTCGGGATCAAACATCCGGATCTCCCACCCAAGACCCTAGACACTCTTAGGAGAGGCTCTCCTAAGAGCCTGCTCTGAAAACGAGCGGACTCTGGATGTTGCATAGGTCGTGCGTAGAGCTGGAATTAGCAGGTCGGGATGGGGCACTTAAGCTACTGGCCGACCTTACATTGCTGCCTGTTGTCTGATCAATGAGTCTTAGGTCATGAACTGGTCCATGAGTCTTAGGTCCGGAG